GTCCTCTAATTTCTGGATGGAGGCGTAATACAGTATTTCATTAACTGTGTCCGAATGATACTTCTTCATTAAATTACAGAATCGGAGAGCAATAACATAATGTTAGCAACAATTCAAAAAGGCCAAATATCGCTTGCCTGCTACTTATTACCAACAATTCAGATACAATTTGATGCTTAATCCAGTGCGATCAGCATTTTTGATCGTCTTTCACGCATTTGCGACCCATTTGCGAAACGAGGTCAAACCAATTCTATGCGGCCGAAGTGGACTGCGACTAAAATACAGTCGCAACACCTTCACGAGTTAAATTTCTCACAAATTTGAGACCACTTTTGTGCCGTCCAGACTCGACCAAGTCTCGCCGTCGAAGTGCCCTCTCCTGAAATGATTCAGCCCCAGTTCGCTCTACCTCTGGACCACCCAAGCCGAGTCTAGCCTCCCTCTCTTTCACTGTCTCCTGACCTCAAGACCGACACTCGGTTGCCGGCTTTCTCCCCTCTCATACACACACACACTCGCACACATACGCATGTGTATATAAATGCACTCATTTCATGCACTATGATTTCCGACCAATCAAATCCTCGCTAGCCTAACCTGAGCCTGGCGTTGGACTCCAGCGGAGTTGGTCTCCGCTGAGCGCCAATCAGAAGCTGAGCCAACCGTTGAGCACCAATCAGAATGTGAGCTTTACATCCTGTCAGGATCGATTAGGCTCTGGTCCCTGCTTCTGGGGGGAAATGCAGTGCGACGGCGGCGTCTTGCAGAAAAGGTGACAACAGTCAGCCACCGTCGAGGCGCCAGTTCATGCACGTGCTGTACCCACGTCTGTAACAATTGTTGAGAGAAGGGACTTGATTTGCTTCGCCGTTGTGCAGCGCGCCTGATTCCGTCGTCCACGTCCCTTCTCTGTGCATAAACGGCATCTAATTTCACCCACCTCCGAAGCTTCTTTCAATTTCCAGTTGGTTCGTCAGTCGTCCCGGGTCGGGTCTGTCCTTCCATGCGTCTTGCGGTCAGATGAAACGGTCTCTTTTTCGGTCCTTTTGGCCCTTGCAACCCGAACGCCTCCCTCCACCCTTCGTCGGACATCGGAGTTTCCGAGCCCTCTACCGTCTGCGTCCCGGACGCGAATCCCGTCAAGCTGGGGCAGCAACTAGATCGTCCCGGCCGCGGATGACTGGTAGACCGGAGGATGCCTTCTTCCGGTGTCCAGGTCAGCGTCGGTTTGCTCGACGCTGGCGGACACTTCTCGAAACTCTTCGTCACGGGCATGCATTTCGGGGCAGAGGGAAATGAGGAGACGCTTTGTTTTTCATGCAAGGGGGGGAGTCGGATGGAGACGAGGATGGTGTGGCCTCTATTTTGGTCGCTGTCGCCTTTCGTTCTATGCAAGTAGTTTGTCATCTTCTTTACAATTGTTGAGCTTACTTCCATTTCGAGTAAGAGTGTCAAGTGAAGAGATTGGAAGATCGGTTCCACCAGAAGACGATGGCGGATTCGAGGAATATCTTGTTTCATAATTGCTGAGCTTACTTCCATTTCGAGTGAAAGTATTTTCGGTGAAGAGAGTCGAAGGTCGGTTCCACCAGAAGACGACGTCGGATCCCTCTTGACCAGCTGTCGATTGAATTTACTGGAACATTCATGTTGACGCTGCTTCCGAGGCAATCTCCTCCGATTCCGGTGAAAAGATGCTAAGCTTTGGTGGGTCATATGACGAACATCATCAGGGCAAGGTATTGTCGTTTTCTTGACTCGTTAGCTTGATTTTTGTATTGTGACGATGATAACTCGCTCTGATGATGTTCATCATAACACGCACGAAAGCTTAGCACCTTTTCACCGGAGTCAAAAGAGATTGCATCGGAAACAGCGTCAGCATGAATATTACAGTAAAACCAATCGCCACCTGGTCAAAAGGAATCCGCCGTCGTCTTCTGTTGGAACCGACCTTGGAATCTCTTCACGCAACACTTTCACTCGAAAT